CACTTGAAGCCTCAGTGTAGTTCCCTCCTTTTCCACCTATGGAAAGAAAACATCCTGTGAAAAAACGGAAGTGGCAGGGCCATGAGGTTCCCTTAAACCTGGGCCCTAGTGAAGTTTCCAAAACTGTGTCTGAAGACCCACGGCAGGATCAAGAAACATGAAGAGAGAGATGTGTGGGGACTTGACCAACCACCCTCCTGGAGATATGTCCTCAGCAGGGGCCTTCTCCTCTCATCTTCAACTGCTAGGAATCAGGTCACCGTCACCAGAATTATGAAGGTGAAACCCGTATTTCATTTTAACAAGTGCTTTACAAAAAACTAAGCGTTAGCAATCAGCTCCAGAATAGGCAAGCACGTTGTGTGGATGGCACCTCCTATCCACACACTTCTATTTGGGGCTTAAAATAACCCTGTGAAGACAACTCAATCCTCACTCCTTCCTTACCTGAGTGTTTCTTCCTCCACAGCACAGCTCCAAGCACCACAGCTCCAGTGACCACAAAGAGAACCAGACCAACAATGATGCCCATAATTGGGATGGTGGGCTGAGGAGGTGGTTCTGCAAAGGGAAAGGAAGGGGCCCAGACCTCAGACTTGAGTCCCAACCTTGATAAAGTTGTCCATAGGGTTTCTGCTTTATCTGAGAAGAAGCTTCACCCCTCATCCTCTCCTTACCCCATCTCAGGGTGAGGGGTTTGCGCAGCCCCTTGTGCTGCACATGGCATGTGTATCTCTGCTCCTCTCCAGAAGGCACCACCACAGACACCCACTTCTGGAAGGTCCCATCCCCTGCCGGCCTGGTCTCCACGAGCTCCATGTCCTGGGTCAGGTCCTCCCCATCAAGCTGCCAGGTCAGTGTGATCTCCGCAGGGTAGAAGCCCAGCGCCCAGCACCTCAGGGTGACGTCACGGTCAGAGATGGGGTGGTGAGTGATATGTGTCTTTGGAGGATCTGAGGAGAAGGGTCAGAAAATCCACACTTTGGGTTACCTACTGAGCCACTGAAACTGTGCTCATGACCATGTTGAGGAGGGACAGGAGAGCTGATTTGGCAAGAAGGTGCACAAAACACAGACTCTAGTGTGGACTCTAGGATCTGGGATAATCTGAGTCCTTGGCAAATTCTAGAATCAGGGCGAGGAGATAGAGTTGGAGGCCCAGGTCTCTAAGGACAAGAACAGAGATTTCTGGTCCTGAACCTGGGTGGAGGATGATTATTCAAAAAAGCTGGAGTCAGGCCTCCTAAGATGTTCTCAGACCGAGAAAAAGGCCTTGAGAGAGAGAGAGAGAGAGAGAGTGTGTCATGGTTCACAAGATGCCTGCCATGGTCAAAGTGACCACTGATAGGTTATTTCAGGGACGTCTCCCTTTCATCTTGGTAGAGACTGGATTCCTTAATTGTCCTTTTAAGAAAGGTGGGCCCTCTGGGTGGGTCACTCTCTAGCACAGACTAAGAAAACCTAGGGGACTCCTCCCTCTCCTGACCAGGAAGGGAGGTTTTCTTACACTCGTTCCACTTTCCTTCCCTCCTTGTGGGAAGCCAGCACCAGCCCCAGCTGAGATGGGGAGACGCCATACCTGCGCGCAGCAACATCTCCTTCCCGTTCTCCAGGTATCTGAGGAGCCACTCCATGCAGGTGCCCTCATAGTAGCCCCTCAGGCGCTCTGCCTCACCGGCCGCCTCCCACTTGCGCCGGGTGATCTGAGCCGCCGTGTCGGCCGCGGTCCAGGAGCGCATGTCCTCGTTCAGGGCGACGTAGTCAGCGCCGTTATAGGCGTCCTGCCTGTACCCGCGGAGGAGGCGCCCGTCCTGTCCCATGTCGCAGCCACACATCCTCTGGTAGGTGTGAGACCCTGACCCCGTGCCGCGGTCGGCCCCGCCCCCCTTTAACCCTGCCCCGCAGGCAGACCCGCTCCTGCCCACCCGCAGTGATGGAGCCTGAACTGGAAGCGAAACCGGATCAAAGGCACTGCGAGCTCTTCCCGCGTGAACGGTCCGGGCGGGTCTCGCAGCCTCGGGGTGTAACTAGGATCCGGACACTCGGGGAGACCCCGGCCCGTCCGTTGGGGGGCTAGGGGGGTCGTGATCGGGACCGGGCCCGCGTTGCTCACCGGCCTCGCTCTGGTTGTAGTTCTCCAGCGCGCTCTGCAGGTCCGCTCGCAAAACCTGTTGGTAGAACTTGGCGCGTCCTGTCTCCCGCTCCCAGTACCCCGGGTCCACCTGTTCCAGCCACGGCCCCTCCATCCACGCCGCCCGCGGCTCCGCCTTTGGACTCGCGGCGTCGCTGTCAAATCGCATGAACTGTGTGTCGTCCACGTAGCCGACGACGATGTACCGGGGCTCCCCGCGGCCGGGCCGGGACCAGGTGGTGACGAAATACCTGAGGGAGTGGGAGCCTGGGGACAGAGAGAGGCTGAGACTCAGACGACCCACCTCCCGGCGCGGATCCCTCGGGGGCGATGGGCTGGGAGGAGGCAGGGGGCCCGGGAGACGAAAAAAGGGCGGGACGGAGAGGGGAGGGGGCGGGAGACTCAG